TTTTCAGATGTGTTCTTCCTACTGGAGCATGGAGGATAGGTACCCCGATTCCCCATGGGAGTTTCAAAGACCGGCTACTTCCCTGTCTCTTTAAAATTACAGCATGACTTGGCTCCTCTTGTTTTTTTGTTCCTCAAAAAAAAAAAAAAATGGCCCTTCCTCCTGGCTTGACCATTTTCCGGCAGCCCTGGGGCTGGCTTGGTACCCTACTTCTCTTTGAAAGAGTCTCTCTTTGAGCATCTTCTCCCTCTGCTTTTATTCGGGAAGCCTCCTTAATAATATGGAGGGTACCTTAGGATGCCAAAAAGGCAGAGGAGTCCCCTTAACTCACTCGGCTAATATATTCCCTTTTTTCCAGATGTCTTTCTGAACAAAGAAAAATGTGAAGATCAGAGAGATGCAATAGAGAGCTCAGTAGTGAATCTAAATAGAAATGAGAAGCAGGAAGAATAAGAAGGACCCGTCTCTGGATGTTATGATTGCTCACAAAAACAAAGCAAACCACATTGATACAGCATGAAGGCAATTTAAAATGATAGATATTGATGCGCTGCCTTACATTCTATATCACCTCTTTACTAAATGAGAATGTTTTGGAATGCACAGTGAATGTTTGTATACCACTGACTAGTTTGACTTTCTGGAACTTAAGTGAGCCCAGGAATATACATTTTTGGGGATCTTAGCCAAGACCAGTGGTAGCCTATTAAATTTAAAACAATTGGCTTTTTAAAAAAAGGCAAAACAGCTGCTATTTTGTAGTTTAATTTTTAAAAAAGAAGTAACTCCTATTCATTTACAGGCTTTGCTGTATTGGATTCTATGATCATCACGTGTCATGACTGTATCATTTTTGTTACCTGAAATAAATATGTGGTAATTTTCCTTATATAGATGTTTAATTATCTTTATTATTTGGGTCATTTTTCTCTCTCCACCCTCGCTGCAGCCAAACATAGGCTGAGCGTTTCTTCATATACATATTGTAGCAACTTATCAGTTACAATCTATCACCTAAAATTATTAGCTCATATGCTCATCATGAACATTAAGGAGAATGTAAAGATTTTATGTATTCAGTCTAAAATGCCAGATCTAAAATCAGTTCATTTATTTCCTGCAATCTTTCAAGTTGATCCAAGTATTCACTGATTTGCTCTATTTTCTCACATTTTCAGTATTTCTGTGTATATATATATATATATATATGCACTGAAAAGCCCAGCTCAGAAAAATTCACTGCAATTCTGAGAAAAAGCTTATCCTAAACATCTAAAGATAGCATTTCTAATTATTGTCTACATTGTGTTTAAACTGTGCAAACTTGAGCATTCTTCTCACTTTACCAGCTGTGTCTAGGTAGAGTCATGACATCAAATGCTTCTAATTTTACAAAAAGAAATCAAAACAAGTGTGTGTGTTGAAGTCTCGGTGACAAATTCGAACCCTGTGAGTCAAACAGGCAAGCTGATTAGCAAGCTGGCTGGGAAGTCAACACAGCAAATGTAAAGAGATTAACAAAATAGACTCGTAAGGGGAGAGGCTAAAAATAGCCTCCAGGGGCCAAGTGGGGCCAAAGGACAGGTTTGGTGGCAGGTTCTGGACCAAAAGCAAATGCCTGCCTTTCTGGCCCACCATCTGTCCCTCATCTCCGATCCCCTCCCCACAAGAGCTGGGATCCCAGAGTTTCTCTTCTAACAAACCTAAGAGGTGGCACCCTTTTCTTTACTTGAATCTTTCCCATGATGTGGCACTCAGTACCTCACAAGGTAGTCCAATCCATGAGGAGTAGCTATTTTTCTGACCATAGCCAGGGTGACTAATTAGACACTTAGTAGATCCTGAGGTCTTCACGGGATGCTCTACAGCAGTGGTTCTCAGCCTGTGGGTCGCCAATCTGTGAGTAGTGACCCCTTTGGGGGTCGAACGACCCTTTCACAGGGGTCGCCTAAGACCATCGGAAAACACATATATAATTACATGTTGTTTTTGTGATTAATCACTATGCTTTAATTATGTTCAATTTGTAACAATGAAAATACATCCTGCATATCAGATATTTACATTATGATTCATAACACTAGCAAAATTACAGTAATGAAGTAGCAACAGAAATAATTTTATGGTTGGGGGTCATCACAACATGAGGAGCTGTATTAAAGGGTCATGGCATTAGGAAGGTTGAGAACCACTGCTCTACAGCTTTCCTGAATAATACTTGATTTAATCCTCACAACAATCCAACAGGATAGTTTTATTTTACAGATGAGGAAAGCCCTGTCCAAAGAGGTGCAGTGACTTGCTCAGGTCGCACAGAGTGTGAGTATGGCAGAGACGGGGTTCCAAACAGGCTTTTCTAGTTGAGCCCGAGCCATCAACCATCACACTCCACACATTCCTTCACCCCGGCAGGGGACTGCAATTTGCCCTTGTATCAGTTCCTCTCTTTTTCTTGGCTTTGGAGCCCCATGGAATAGTGTATCAATTCCATTCCCATTAATGGACAGAACAGAAAGGAGTAGGTCTGCTGGGGTCTCTCCTCTGTCTGAGGGGCTAAGGGTAGTGAAGAGAGAAACTAAGAACAGAAGGTGCTATGGTCTGAATGTGTCCCCCCAAAATAAATATGTTGAAATGCTAACCCTCTAAGATGATGGTAGTAGGAGGTGGAGCCTTTGGGAGATCCCAAAATTATGAGAGACATTAGTGCCTAAAGGGTTCCAGAGAGATCCCTTGCACCTTCCATCATGTGAGGATGCAGCAAAAAAGCACTTGCTGTGAACCCCAAAAAAGTCTCTAACCTGGTCATGCTGGTACCATGATCTTGGACCTCCAGCCTCCAGGAGTGTGAAAAATAAATTCCTGTTGTTTGTGTGTGTGTTTGTGTGATAGCAGCCCAAACAGAGGAAGACAGGAGGTAAGTGGTGAAAAGCACCAGTCTCCTTCTGAAAAATAAACCCAAACCTCCTGGGTGATCCTGAATTAACCTATAATCTGGCAGCAGAGTCAACGATGACGTGTCTGGCATTTTATCTCTCTGTAATTGCTGCCTGGTCAGCTTTTAATTGTGAGGATAGGTGAGCCCATCTCTTTGAGATCAGGATATTTAAAGACACGGTTTGCTCATCCCCTGTCAGTGCTGACCTGTAGAGTTCAAGTTCAGGTTTCAAACCAGTGAGAACCAGTTGGGGGAGCAGAGTCACCAGACAAGAATAGCCCTTCTCCCCAATCTTCCCTTGGGTTCAAAGGAAGAACTTCCAATGACAAGTTAGTCCTGGTAAGAGGTAAAAATAACCACTGGGGATGGGTTTCTGGCTAAGGTTCAGTTTGACTCACTGTTTTAAGAGTCGGGGAGACATAGAAGCTGCCTCCAACTAACCAGGGTGCAAACGCCACGGCTGGGACGTGAGTCTACACCAGGAGGTTGGAAAGTTATTATGAGAACTTTTGTTCAGTAAATGAAGGTGGATACGCAAGACTGATCTAGTCTGCGTGTAGATTGTGATTTTCAAAAAGAGGCTGAAACGCCAAGTTTCGAATTAAAAACAGCCGCCTTCGGGCTCCGTTGCTTCCAAGTGCCTTTGTGTGGAGAAGAGCATCGTCCTGGTTGTGCAGAGGCCGGCAATGCTGTCTGCCAGCACAACCCCCTGTAACTTGCCCAGTGACGCCGCTTCACTGGCCGGACCTCAGCCGCCTGGGAAATGGACCTCATGCCGCACGGATTTCAACTCCCGTGTCGGAAACACCGGCAGCCTATTGCAAACAGTGGGCCTTCTCTCCGGTTGGGTTCCACCGCTCCGGGATGAAGCCCAGAAAATGGCATTTTCCTTTCTTACTTCCCACAACAAGCCTTGCCGGTGGAATTGGGACGAGAGGAACAAGGAGAAGTCCTACAGGGGTTTTGGAAATATCTTTGCTACTTTCAAATAGTAACTGAGCCCGGGAGAGAAGCCTCAAACCAACAAAGTAACAGAAGCCCTGATGCAGTACTGAGCTGCTGCGTTTTTAATGTGCAACGTGAAGATTGCCAGACCCCCCAAAGGGTATCTCTCCGCAGGGTGGCGAGAAATAGCCCAAAGCTCCTTCCGGCAGGCAGCACGGCTGGCAGGGCCCCGCATTGGCGGTGGGTGGGGAGGTGGGGACTCTAGGCAACCCCAGGCCAGGCCTCAGAGAGCCTGGCAGAATCTAGGAGGTGGAGGAGGTGGAGGAGGTGGGGGGGTGGGGGAGGCGTGTCCTGAGGGCATAGAGGTATCTCAGGGCTCATGGGGTGAGGGCAGGGGTGACAGGGCAGAAAAGGACCTCAGGAGCCTAGGAGGCCCTCGGGGTAGATGGAGTATATGGTAGATGGAGGGGCGTACCTCTGGGGGTTCTTAGAGTTCAGGGTAGGGGTGCTCCGAAGGGGGGGCTACCCTCTGGATGGAGGGGGGTGTCTCAGCATGCCTGGCTGGAATCTCAGGGTAGAGAGTGTCTCTGGAAAAAGAGGGAGGGTCTTGGGGCACAGGGACGGGGTCTCGGGGGGCTGGGAGGGG